AAAAACTAATGGGCCCAAGGCCCAACAACATCTTAATTTAAAAGAAAATAAACTAAACACAAGTCGGCCCACTCAACAGTAGACAATTCATTCTTGATATTATCCCTTGGTCCATTTGTGAAACGAACTAATTTGTGCCCTTCACTTTCTGTAATGTCACATCTAATATATAATTCATCAAACTTGTGCATATATTGAACTACGGATAGAATACCTTGCTTGAGAGTAGTCAACTCCACATATAGATCATCATGGAAGTACAGTGGAATGTACTTTTCTTGCAAATACCTCTTCATCTCTGCCCATGTGGTAATGGAATATTCACCTCTATTTTCTAGTCTTTGTCAAGGGTTCTCCACCATATTGTAGCATGACCCGTGAGCTTCGTGTGTGCAAATCTAAACCATTGTTTTTCAAACATATCATGTCAATCGAAATATTCTTCTAATTTAGAAATCCAATCAAAGAATGCTTTCTGGTCTTCATCTCCCTTGAAATTGGGCATTTCCCTTTCTCTTCTAACATTCTTGAATCATTACTAAATCTACTTTCTTCCACCAACTTCCCAAGTAAATCAACCATAGACCCTTCATAGGGTTCAAAAACCCTATCATCATTGATTCTAGCCCATGAGATTGTTTAAATGATACCCTAGGCCTATAAAGTCGGACACTTTGTGAGAACATGGTGACTAACCATTAGCTCTGATACCAAAACTGATGCAGTAGGGCTGGAACAAACTATCACGAGAGAGAGAGAGAGAGAGAGAGATCCCAAGGAATCACTCCAAGGGTCCTAGATAATCACTCTAGGGTTTGTAGGAATCACTTCATACAGAAAACTCGCAAGAGATCTCTAAAGAAATCTTCATTCATTCATTAGCTTCAAAAGGAAGAGAATACATCTATTTATAGAATGACTTGTGTGGTCCGGAATACTGTTCACCATAATTACAAAAATGCCACTCCTTGTCTTGTGCATCAAGAAACACAATAACTTTCTATCTACTAAGGAAAATAAACTGAAAATTGAAAGAGAAGCACCACTAAGCTAGAGAAACAAGATGCTATAGCCCAAGCCCAAATGGGACTGGTCAAAATGACGAAAATACCCATACTGTCCAAATATACAAAAATATAGAAAATTTCAGAAAATTCCAAATTGATTCTTCAGCTCCTGCATTACTGTTACAAGCAAAACTATAAACAAAATTTGAATATACTGTGCATAATCTGGAGAGGGGCCTTTTTGGTATTTGTTTTACCACATACACGCACATATCAGTTTCACTCAAATTATGACTGTAGGAAAGAAACCTAATTTGATGATAAAAACTAGATTTTTCACAAGGGGTGTATTTCTACATTGAGAACAATGAAACTTCACAGAGGTTCATCTGTAGATATAGGCTCAAATTACTGAACCACATTAAAACTAGTATTTGCTATCACATTTTCTTTTGTGGTTTATTGGTTTCTGGCACAACAGTGTTGTTTCATATGCTTGTATAGCAGGATGTCCTATCAAAGTAACATAGTTATTTTAAATAATTTAGTATGTTTTGTCAGATTCTGGTGGGGTCAAGGAAAAGATGGTGGAAGGGTTGTGAAGGGGGTATGAGAGGTTTTGCTATTTTCTGATTTTTT